ACTCTTAAGAAAAACATAAAGTTTAATAGAGCTTTTATTTTATATTAGCTTATAATCAAAGAATTAAATTTGAAGAATTAATATTTTCAATGGTTAAAATATGAATGTCTTAAGAAGGTAAGTGAGAGAATCCCTTCATAAAACTTGTCTATAAACTATAAATACCTTTGAAAGACTAATTCTAAAAGAGTTATAAACACCATGCTGGTAAATGAATATTTAGACTCAATTTAAGATGAACTTATAAATTGTTATAAATAAACTGTAATTATTAATCATCCTAGATTCTTGAGAATTAAATTGATTGATCACTGATCAATAGAAATAGGTCTGATGCTATTAAATCCTCTAAAGCTTTACTATTTAAAAATAATCCAAAAAAATTTATAATATGGTTTGCACTTTTAAAACCTTTAACGATTTGTAAAAAAGGTTGAATAATGAAAATAAACAAATTTATGATGAAAATATGGAATTGCTGTTTTTAGAAGATTGTTTCTTATTGAAAAAAAGTTTTATTAAAAATTAATAAGAGTAACAATTTAAATTATAATAGACTAAGTAAGGATTTAAGAATTTACTTTATTGATGAGGTTTTAGGAATGTTTTGGAGAGATAGGAAGGTAATTGTATATGATTCAATTGAACTCATAAAAAACTAATAATTTTTTTGAGTAACAATAATGGTATTTCATTTTTTTGAGAAATAAAAAAGGTAAATTTTTTGCTTAGTTTTCTATTGGTTCCTGTTAAAATTAGGCATCTTGAAATTCACATAAGGAATAATTTTGTCTAATTAGGATTATAAATCGATTTATCAAATTAATCAAAGTATTTATCATTAAGTTTTGTCTAACTCATTAGAATTCATTGTTATAAGTAACTTATTAATAATAACTCTAATAATATGGAGATACTGCAATATATATTATATTTTAAATAAAAATAAAAATTTACATACCAAATAAAGTAAACTAAAAATCTTCATTTATTTATTGAAAAACTGTTTATCAGATAAACCATCTAGCTATTTTAGAGCAATCTTATAGCATTCTCTATAAATTATAATATTTCATTTGAATTTTTTGTTAATTAATTAGACAACTGTATTTTTTATATACAATTATTGCATATTAAGCTGAGGATAAATTAAATAAAAATAAATCTTACATGAAAATGGGCAAACTCAAAGTTGCTAATTTTAAATCATTGTTTATTTAGTTAAATATTCATTTCTATAAATAATAATCTTTATTATTAATTTTAACATTAAACAAGTAAAAAGCCTAATTAAACTAAAAATTCTTATTTGAATTATTAAATTCAATTTAATCAATAATTTATCTCGGGGGTAAAATTAGAAGATTATTAAATGTTTAAATAATTTAACCTGAAATAGGCAAGAGAAAATTTTTGACATTAATAATTTGTATAGATCTGGACTAAGTTAAAATTAGATATTTTTAAACCAATAATATAGAGGTATTTGAATTTGCTTTATAATTTTTTATCCTCCTTATCTTATGAACCTAAGATCAAATTTTATACGAAAATCTTGGTTATTTTTTCATGTGTTTGAAATAGTTAAGTTCAGTTTTATAGGTTCTAGCAATGTACCATATTTCATTATATAGGCGATTTTAATTCTAGCATATAATATAAACTCATATGATATGGTAATAAAGAATTATAAATATTAACAGTAAGATAGCTTAAAGTTACATTTATCTAAACAAATAGCAATAACAGAATTAAAGTTATTGATATCTAAGAAAAATGATAATAGTTGAGTAGTAAAAAAGATGTAAATAAAAATGAAATGTATATTTGTAAAAATTTATTTATTATATTATCCATATAAAATAAAAGTAGTTTTTAAAATAATTTAATAAAAAAAAAATATCATGCCGAAAGAACTCTAGACAAGGACCTTACAAAGCTAAAAAGAACAGCACATCACTTGGACCCCCGTGAAAGGCTTAATTTGAAAATAAATTCTTAAATTAATCAAGTTAATATTCAGTTTTAGATAAAGTTTTATATTTACTTTTGCAATAAGATTAAATAATGATATTATTCTTATAAAACATTATGTTATATGTAATTCTAAAATATATTAAAATAATCATATAAATTCTTGATATATGTAATTTATTTTTCAATTTTTAAAACAAGATATCACTTTTAGTAATTTTTAAGCTTCGTCCCATACAATTAGCCATAATCCATCATTACTCATTGTTCCCCAAATATATATTTCCTGAAATCTAACCTTTTAGATAATTTATAATTCTTAGTTTTTGTTTACTTGAAACAAACAAAGTTCATTTTTATCCTATTTTATAAACAATTGCTTCTACTTTATATATTATGAAATAAAAGAATAACAATTTTAACCTTCTCCTTGCATAAGAAATGTATTTGATAAGGTATATTAATCATTTTATTAATTAAATTTATAAACAAACATAGTTCTGCTCATCCAAGGGTGAAAAACAAAAGAATCATCACCAAAACAGATTGCTTAAGTTCCAAAGTTATCCATATTTATTATTTAAACAATTTTCCATTATTATATTTAATTATTTTGTTATTAAATTATAGTTATGTTATGGTCTCCATTGCAAGAAATTATTTTATTTTAAGACTCATTAAAACTTAAACTGTAAACCCAATCAAATCCATCAATTAATTATAAATCTAATTTTAATACACATAAACCATTTTCTTCCCAAAAATAAATATGTTTTTAAAGTCCAGCAACTAATAAATTATTTTTTTCACTTATTGCAAAACAACTAAAACTGTTCTAATCCACTTAAATTTTCCTTTAAACTTTTGAATTGTTTATACAGATTAAAGATCTTATTTTAATCATTTGATTACAACCTGATATTAAAATTGTATCTTTATTGCAGTTTAAATATGTCAATGCTTAATCGCTGTGATATGATTCACCAATCTTATATAGTAATCCTTTGCGAAAAGAATAAATCTTTATTTTTTTATCGCTTCCAGTAAATAAAAATGAATTTGAGCTATTAAATTTCATTGTTCTACACATATCATTTTATAAATAGGAATTTTTGACTTCTCCGATAAATTAATCAAACTATTAAGATTACTAACTACTTTTCTATTATTTCTTTTATATTTGATTAGAGTTTCCCATAAAAATTTATAAATAATTAATTTGGATTTGAGAACAAAAATTTATGAATACTATATTTTTATATAAATGGAATTTCATTCTCTAATTTGCCTTGATTTAGAGAAATTTAATTTATAATTAATGAAAAACCAAAGTGTGAAAATGAGTAATTTAAACAGAAATACATTTGTATTGTTATCCCATTTATTTATGAGAAACCAAATTAATCTGAATTCTATTTAGTTTTCCATTCAGATTTGTAATTCTATTAATTTTATGTCTTAAAAATACATTTATCTGAAATAAAATTTAATTAAGGCCATGAGCAAATAAGATTAATCAATCTTAAGTTAGAATTTTTTGTCAAAATCATTAAATTTCTATTCTTTCAAACTGCAATCTGATTCTATTGACATACATTCGTATCGCAATCATCATTATGTTATTATTAGACCTTTAAATTATTGTTTCTCTTTAATAAGTTTACATTTCATCACTTCCAATAAGCCAATCAATCACATTATAAGAATTTTTTATAATAAACGATAATCTGAATAACGTTATCACTTCTACCCTTACATTTTATATTCCTTAATGTATTTTAAGAATGAAATGTTTTCATCTTCGAACTTAAAAAAAAATATAAATAATTTTAAATTATAAAGAATATTAAATTTGTTCAATAAAATAAATCAGTCTAATTAAAAACCATAAATATTCATTGATCCCATTAATCCTTGAAATAGAATAATTATAAGATGAATTAGGTATTTAATATTAATTTCTAAAAGTTGAAATCTAAATAATAATTTAATAATAATCTTTGTAAGTGAAAGTTAGTAGCAAATAAAAGTAAATTTTAAATTTGGGTATAAAATAGACACACATATATATTGCTAAATGGAAAGGACACCAAAATAGTTATGCTAGATAAATATTGAATAATATTTTTTAAATTATTCATTTTCATCCAAATATTGATAACAATTTTGATTTGGAAAAATTAAGCTAAGATATACTTCAATCAAAAAAGCAATAGAGTTTGAAATATCTAAGATTTTTGGTTAATGAATTCATGACAATTTTATATAATAATTATATCTAGAAATGCTTTAAAGTGATTATTATATCATACGCTGAATTGAACCTTTTACAATTATTTAAGCTTATTCGCATCATTAAATTTCACATAAATAAATTATTTATGTATATATTTAAATATTCTTTGCTATCCTAATATATAATTATTGTTTATGAAAAATCATTTCCAATTATATAATTTCTATCATTAAATTGAGAATTTAGTTTAAGATAAGATAGAAGAACAATCACATTAACAATATTAGCATCTTATATTTATTTTAGCAAGGATTTTAATAATGGGCATTTCATAATCAATCTTAAACACATTAATTTCGTAAAAAATTGTCTTTTAATTGAAAGAAATTAATTCAAGAAATAATAATTGTGTTTTATTGATGTTGTCGATATATGTATCATTAAAAATTTTCACATTAGTTTACACTTTTTATAGAATAGAAAATTATAAGCAAAATATATAATGATATGATTATTGTTTATATTGAATATTAATTGATACAAAAGCTTCTAGCAAAGTTGTAATTTAAAAAAGTTAAGTATACCTGTTTATTTTATTGTATATGGATCATTTGGATCAATCTTTAATGATTTCTCATAATAAATTAGAGCTTCTTAATATTATTATTAATCTATTAAACAATCCCCTAAAAATACAATAATATTATTCCTTTACATTAAAGAGAAAATGTATTTTGTGGATTGATGGAAAGAACTCAATCGATTGAATATAAAGCTTCATTATATTTTTTCAATAATTTTAAACATGCACCTATGATTATAATTATGATTCAATTTACCTTTTTCATTAAGGAAAAAGCATCATTAGGATCAATTACTAATGCTTTGTCCGACCGGGTGATTGCATCCTTATATTTTTAATAAATTAATAATAAACTTATAAACATCTACCTATTAATATAATTATGATTCAATTAACCTTTGTCATTTAATGAAAGAAAATGCTTAGGATCAATCGTTAATACTTTGACTAACCAGTGATTACATCCTCTTTTTTATTTAACTACTTTATATTTTAATTAATTAATAAAATGTGATCAAACATGCACCTATAAATTATCTATAATTTTACATTTACACCACAAAGATAAATGGTTATTAGGATTTTATTGTATTGATTAATCTAATAATAAACATAATTATAAGATTTCCCTTTAAATCATAACTTAAGGATTAATACAATCTTTTATCATATAATTCATTAGATAATTTTTTAGATTTATCATGAATCTCATAATAATTAAAATATGATAATGATAATTATTCATATAAATTGTTAAATGAATGAGTTAGTTTCTTTGTTTATTCTGAAATTATTGCTGTGATTGATTATTTGTATTCAATTAATTTGATAGTTGAATTAAAGTAATCATTTAATTATAATGAATTCAAATGTATTAATTTTCCTTCTATAATGAATGTTTATAACTGATTCCAATTGTTAACTATGAAAATAATTAATTCATATTTTCTACAAATGTATTAAGATCATTAATCAAATTATCACATTCATTATTTTTACTTTAAATAAAATCTATCAAACTGTTAATTTTTTCAACATTATCAAAATGATCTTGATGGATTCTTACTTTTTTAATACCTTTAAAACTATAAAATGTAAATTCTGTTCAATACTAGTTGTAACAAACTGTGTCTATTTCATCCTTATAATCATCTTGTTAACATTTTAACTTTAAATTTGATTACTAAGTCATTTTTTTTAATATTTTATATCTAAAAAAATTTTTACATAAATAATAATCTCCTTTATGAAATTAGTAACCGAAATTAGTTTTTTATTATTTACAATTATTTAGCCATTCTTTTGATTATAAATTAGTTTTCAATTTTTTATATCAGTTTAACATGCTCTATTTTAATTATGCATATCATGATCATTTAAAAATTCTAGATTTGGCAATCTTGCATTGAACAATATCATCCAATAAACTGTTTTTTGATTGTTATTCAATTAATTTATCTTTTAGTTTAAGAATCCATTTTTATATAAAGTTCACACTGCTTTAAACTTAATTTTTGTAACAAATTTACTATTCACATGATCCTATTGATTACTTACAAATTTTTTGTGCTGGTCATTTATATTCTAAAATTAAAAATACTAATTAAGAATAGATTTAAATTTAATTATGAAAAATTCAAAATCATAATTCACTGAAATCTTTTTAATTTTAAAAGTAAAATAAGTAAAAATATAAATTCAGGATGTTTTGAAAAATTCTTTTATTAATTATTATTTAACATAATAATATTTAATTTAAATATTGTTTTATTATTACATCAGGATAGAATAAAAAAGCAAGTGATTTGTTTTAAATACTATAGCTCCTCTAGAAGATTTAAATACTTTAAGGTATTAAAACTTTTTTTTGACTTTTACAAAACCTAAATTGTCTAGGTTTTTGTTAATCCAAATCTAGAATTTGATTTGTAACTATGAATTCTGGTTTTGACTTTAAAGCCAAACTCTATACAAAGGCTGAGGAATTATTGTGTTACTGATTTACAAATTTATCAAAAGAAGTGATTGCCACATCATCAGTATCTTTGAAAATTCTTGTAGTTTTGAGTAGTCTTTATAAACCATTTGCAATTCTATTACATTTAATTTTCATACTAATTAATCAATATGACTTAATTTATCTACCAATTAGTCAAAGTATTTGTCAAATAAAAGGATCTGAATGAACTCCATTATAGAATTTAACCTTTTTTTTATAGGATATAAGCATACATGAATAATTATTCAAATAACCATTCTATTACTTATGTTTTTTATTTTAAGAGAATATTATTCTTATGTATTTTATTATTTTTTTTATTTGTTAGCTTCTAAAATCTAATTTCTATGAATCATATAAAGGCATTTTATTAATCAAAGATTTGTTGCTCCATATTTACTTAAGATTTCATTTCTTAAATAATTGAATTTAGTTATTGTGAGCATTTTAAGCTAGGTACAAAGCCTAATAAAAAAGATTGAGTTAAAGAGTTTATTGCTTCTAAATTATCGTAAAACTTTTAATATATTTCTTAAATATTTGCCATGAGATCAAATGAATGGAGTTATTTGATTGAGCTAAAGAAGAATTTGAGAACCTAAAAATCTTCACATAAGTAAAGCTCTAGGATGCTCCTAAAAATTAAATCAATACCTCCAAAATTAATCCTTTTTGGAGATCCATCAAGATAACAAAGAACCAGAATTTTTTAAAAAGGGAAAATATTCTTCCTTATAAGTCTATTTTTAAGTGAGTATTTATTTACAGACAGAACAGAAATATTTAATCGAATTAATACATGAGTCGGGTCATTTTTTGGGTTAATAAGAATGGAGGATCCTAAATTTGTTGTTTAAAAAATTTTTTTTAGGAAATAAATAAGAATGCTTCATGAATCATAAATTAAGATATAGTTGAAAAAAATTTTTTAACTAGCTATTCATATTGTAAAATGATTGCAACTACACATATTGAAATATAAAAAGAATGACAAAAATAGAATATTGAGACTTTATTCCTTAAAATTTTGAATGAAAGAGTTTTAATTAATATTGTAATGATTTTATTCTGTTTAAATTCAGTATCATCAATTGATTAATACTTTACAATATTGATGAAGAATAACTGAGATTAGATTTATATGAGTATTTGATTTATAAATAATATTTATTAGCAGATATAAATTATTAAAATAACAAATAAATTATGAATATTTCTTCCTAAAATGATTAAACTTAAATTAATGAGCTTTAGTGATATTATCTTAAGTTCTTGCCATGAAGATCCAGAATTACCCTTTTAAATTTAGAACAAATTAAACATTTAAAATGGTTAGGCAAATATTAGGATACAAAAAAAGTTGGAATGTGGATAGAAACATGGAAAATTTAAATATTACTAGATGTAGGTGGTTAGTATTGTTAAAAAGGGATGAAGTAAGGTAGATGGAAAGAAATATTTAAGAATTACTTTGTATATTTCTCATTATTTATTGTGATAGAGAAGCATAAGTCTATGAAGAAGGAGAATATATAAATGCTATGAGAATAGGGATATGGAATATCATTTATCAAAATAAACCGATGTAATTGTGCAATTAATTTTAATGGTATATAGTGTTTATGTCAACATATAATTAGTGATAATTAAATAATATTGAAGAATCTTTTAATGGTAACAAGATTGGTACTTGGGATATCAATAGAAAAAGGTTGGCTATTTTCCTTAACTTCAATGGATGTAAAAAGAAAGGGAATTTAGAACTAATGTAGAGGATAGGAGTATTATGATCAAGAAGGGTAAAAGTATGGAAAGTGGGTTGAGTTAAGCGATGATTTTAAAAAGTTTAGATTACGAAAGATTTATTTTTAGAGAAACCTAAATCATATATTGTAGTGAATATAAAATCGGTAGGAAATTTGGTATATGGGAAATTTATTATTAGAAATAAAGTAATAGGCCATTTTATTTAATGTAGATTATCATTATTAAATAATCATAGTGGATGTGACATATATAGTATCGAAGGATATAAAAATGGAAGATGGGTTGAAGTAACCAAAAACTTTTTGAAGTTTTAATAATTATAGTTTAATTATATTGATGGCTAAGTAATTTATGAAGGTCAATATTAAAATGGTAAAAAAATTGGGAAATGGGATATTAAAGTTAAGAATGATTTAAAAGTTGAAAAAATATAAAAATAAATTTATAATTCTTAGTGGTTATGGAGCTTATGATGAAAAAGAACATAAAAATGCTATTTGGCTGGAATTGAGTGAGAATTATCGGAAGTATTAATACTATTATCATAAAAGTATGTAAATAGAGGTCACATATTATGGAGAATACAAAAAAGATAAAAAAATTGGAAAATGGGAAATCCATTACAAATATTCAAGTAATTATCCATTTAAATAAATGTAACTATTATATATCTATATAAACGTGATAGAGGTGGTGGATCATATAATGATGAAAGTGTTAAATATGGTAATTGGATAGAATTGAGTGATTATTTTTCGAAGTTTTATTTTAAATCTAGATTTAAATTAGTCACAATGAAGTCCTTTCTCAGGGCGTATATTAGAATGGTCGAAAGATTGGCAAATGGGACATAAAATTTAGATCTCTCTAGTTTGATGACTTTCATAATATGTATTTTTTAACATAGTTAATTTTTAAGTGGTAGTGGAACTTATGACAACCAAAATTTGAAACTTAGTCATTGGGTTGATGTATGCAATAATTTCTCGTAGTTTTATTTGTGAATTATATCTTTAGAGGTTAATCAATAATTCATAAAGGAGAATATAGCCATGGGAATAAGATTGGATTATGGGAAGAAATAAGATTATGCTGCGATAAAAGAAGATTGAAAATGTAAAAGATAAATATTTATATTAAGAGGCGAAAAAATTTACGATTGAATGTTATTAACAAATATATTCAATTCACATCTCTTTTTTTTAACTATCTTATTTAAGGATAATTAATTTTTATAATTTAATTAACCATAAAGTATTCATATAATCAGATTTTAAATGATTTTTATTTTGGTATTTAAAATTAAAAATTGAATTTTTAGTTATCCTGATTGCACTCCTTTATTCCCAAAATCTAAAATAAATTAATTGTAAACTTGTAAAAATTTATTCATAATCTTATCATCCCTTACAATTTTACGACTCTTGTAATAAAATCCTCATAATTAAATTTAACCTTAATTAAAATTTTAGATTCTCGCCCTTATTAATTGATCTTAAGTTCTTCTCTGATAACTCAAATTAAAAATTAAATAATTGAAACTTCTTTACTAAAATGCTCTTAATAGAGTCATTTTCTGTATCCAAAATCATAAAACACTTGATCCATATCCTTTTCTATACTAAATTATTAATGGAGATTACTATTATGAGGACACAAGAAAGTTTAAATTATTATTGTGGAGTAGTTTTATTAATAGACAGGTTTGGCTTACAAACTTGCGGTTTTTTTTTAGGACCTTAAAGATTTTAACAGTTAAAAACAACCAAAACCATATAATTTATAATTAGATATACAAAAGTTAATTTTAAGTATTAAATTTCTTGTCATTTATATTAAAAATTTTATTTCATATTTTTTTGTAAGCTTCCGAATAAATATTTACAGATATAGAATTTATTTGTTTTCCTTTAAGATATTTTTCTTAATATATTTTAATAAAGAATTTTTTTATAATTTCTAAATTATATAAATTATCAAAAGTCTGATAAACAGGTGAACATTAATATTTTAAGGTATTTGTTTTTTTAAATTATTGGAAAGTACTTAAAAGAGTAAAAAAAAAGTAAAATATGTTGTCTACAAATCATCATAAATTCGGTTTAATCAATAAAGAACAAGATATTTTCATAAATTCCTATTACATCCCAAGAGCCTAATATCCAAATACCAACTGAGAATATTCAGAATTTGTTTAGGGGAATAATTTTTAATATCTTGATTATTTTAGTATACAATCTATAATGCCTTTCTAAATAATATTATATTAATTCTAATATTTATCTTTTTAATTTACTTTAAACTAACAATGTAAATTGATAATAGAATGCTAAACATAATTATGGATCCTAACAAAAATGAAAATTAATTTAGAACTTAATTATTGATAAAAATTTGAAATAATAATATATCTTTAGCAATGAGTTGTTTGAAAAATGATAAATAAATTTATTTAATAACACAAATAATTACACAATCGAATTTATGACAGGTAAAATTATTTAATTTTATATCTAACTTTTTGCCAATATGAAATTGAGATTTGTAATCTTTATAATATGAAAATCATTAAATTGCAAAATCGCAATTTATAACCAAAAAATATAAAATGATGCACGAGTATTTAAAAATATTGGTCTAATGACTGACTGAAATTTTGATAGATATCCATCTCAATTTAAAAAGGTTAAAATATATGAATTTTTAATGAATATTTAGATAATTTACAGTCATAGTGGTTATTAAAATAATTTCTATCTAGAAGATTATTTTTAAAATATGATTGAGATGAAGACTAAATAAAATAGGAAAGTTTTTTATTTTATATTTATATAAGTACTATTCATTATCCTAGAGAAACTATAAAATTAAGTAGAAAGATATAATAACAATTTATACTTTATCATTAAATTTAAAACTATTTTATTGTTATTATTAAAAAAAAGATATATAAGCAAAATAATATAGCCTAAAGGTTAGTTGAAGATTTTATGAGAATAAAATAGTTCTTTTTCTTATTCATTTACAGAGGGACAAAGTTTAAAACATAAGTTTCAAATTAAAATTATACTTTAAAGTAAAAGAAAAAATATAATGAGAATATAAAAATTCTAAATTGAATAAACTAAATTTAAGATTATAATGAATTTATTTTTGTATTTTTAATCATAATATTATAAAAGTGGAATATATTTAATTATTAATTAATATTAATTTAATTCGATGGCAGTAATATGTTTTGTGATATTAATTACAAAGATAGCAAGCAAATTTACAACCACTGAAATGAATTTAAATAATTAATTTGAAAGAAAAATAGTTAAATTAACAGATGATAATTATAGCACATTCAGTAATCTAATATAAACAAATATACTGTGAAAAAGAATCATCTTTTCCACAATGCTTATTTATGTATNTAAATTCCTATTACATCCCAAGAGCCTAATATCCAAATACCAACTGAGAATATTCAGAATTTGTTTAGGGGAATAATTTTTAATATCTTGATTATTTTAGTATACAATCTATAATGCCTTTCTAAATAATATTATATTAATTCTAATATTTATCTTTTTAATTTACTTTAAACTAACAATGTAAATTGATAATAGAATGCTAAACATAATTATGGATCCTAACAAAAATGAAAATTAATTTAGAACTTAATTATTGATAAAAATTTGAAATAATAATATATCTTTAGCAATGAGTTGTTTGAAAAATGATAAATAAATTTATTTAATAACACAAATAATTACACAATCGAATTTATGACAGGTAAAATTATTTAATTTTATATCTAACTTTTTGCCAATATGAAATTGAGATTTGTAATCTTTATAATATGAAAATCATTAAATTGCAAAATCGCAATTTATAACCAAAAAATATAAAATGATGCACGAGTATTTAAAAATATTGGTCTAATGACTGACTGAAATTTTGATAGATATCCATCTCAATTTAAAAAGGTTAAAATATATGAATTTTTAATGAATATTTAGATAATTTACAGTCATAGTGGTTATTAAAATAATTTCTATCTAGAAGATTATTTTTAAAATATGATTGAGATGAAGACTAAATAAAATAGGAAAGTTTTTTATTTTATATTTATATAAGTACTATTCATTATCCTAGAGAAACTATAAAATTAAGTAGAAAGATATAATAACAATTTATACTTTATCATTAAATTTAAAACTATTTTATTGTTATTATTAAAAAAAAGATATATAAGCAAAATAATATAGCCTAAAGGTTAGTTGAAGATTTTATGAGAATAAAATAGTTCTTTTTCTTATTCATTTACAGAGGGACAAAGTTTAAAACATAAGTTTCAAATTAAAATTATACTTTAAAGTAAAAGAAAAAATATAATGAGAATATAAAAATTCTAAATTGAATAAACTAAATTTAAGATTATAATGAATTTATTTTTGTATTTTTAATCATAATATTATAAAAGTGGAATATATTTAATTATTAATTAATATTAATTTAATTCGATGGCAGTAATATGTTTTGTGATATTAATTACAAAGATAGCAAGCAAATTTACAACCACTGAAATGAATTTAAATAATTAATTTGAAAGAAAAATAGTTAAATTAACAGATGATAATTATAGCACATTCAGTAATCTAATATAAACAAATATACTGTGAAAAAGAATCATCTTTTCCACAATGCTTATTTATGTATCCAACAATGTATTCGTAAAGGTTTTATTCTAAAATATATTGATTATTATTTAAAACATTCTATAAAAGGAATTCAACACATGAATTATTGTTATTCATATAGTATCAATTTTATCATTCAAAATTAATAATCGATTAAAATAAAGTAATAAATATTAAATTCACTGTTAACTTAATCATTTATTCCATTTGATTGCAATTAAATTCACCAATTTTTAAATATATCATGCAAATATATTTTTATTATATTAAATAATATAGTTAAATGGATGCTAAATGTGTTGAAAAGTCTGCTTTGTCAATCACTTTTATTTAATAATCTTCCAATCTCTATAAAGTTTCAAAAAGTTGTCTATAGTATGTAAATTTAACTCAAATTTTCAAAATTTTAAACTTATAATTTTACTCAATTTATTTTTATGATTTTTGTGACAATAAATTAAAGGTATAGTAGTAATTTTAGAAATAGAAGTATGTGCGATTTTTAATAAATGAAATTAATTCGGTCACTTTATTTGAATTGTTGAAATTGCTTGTTAATTTTTTAATTAATTTACAAGTTCTTTGTTTTAATCTAAGAATTTCGAGATGAACCCATAGATGGGTATTCAATATTCTGTGCAACTACAAATCAAGTGATAAATCCATTCCCTTCCTTTTAGTTTCAATCTTAAACTAATTATTAATATTTAGTTTTAATCATATTTTTTGCATTTTAATTCCCTGATTTCATAAATATATTTACGAAATATTAACTTAAAACCGTATTTAATTATTTTTTCCTCAGGTTTTTGCTGAAATGGTTATTATTTTTTTGAAACATAAACAAAGTTTTAGCGAAAGGATGGATAAGTATTCTGAAAAATATTGATAAATTTCAATTTATTTAAACAAATAATTTCCTTCTTTTAAGAATCTAATAAAATAACATGCGTAACTAGAAATGAACATTAATATGATAATCTTAAGTTAGATAATTTTATTTTTAATTGATATTTTATTAGGTCTCTATGAAATCTATTTTGTATTTAGAATCTCCTCAAATGATTTTATAGAAAATATAATCAAACACATTATTATCAATTTGTCAATAAGTTATCATTCATTAGGATAGAGAATATAATAATAAATACATATAGTTTTATAATCATTACTTTAATTTCTGTTCACAAAAATCTAAATTAACAAATTTAGTATACCCTTTTAGTTTTTTACCCATTTATCATTAGGTTTATACTTTAATGATTTTTCATAATAAATCACAGCTTCTAGATATTTTTCTTAATCTTGTAAACATAACCCTAAAAAATAAAACAAAAACATACCTTTGGTTTGTAGTGAGAAGGTGTTAAAGGGATCAATAGAGAGGGCTAAATCAAAACACTTTAAAGAATCTTCAAATCTTTTTAGTGATCTTAAGCATGTGCCTAATAATTTAATTGAAATTATATCTACCTTTATTACTCAAGGAATTAACATGCTTGGGATTAATTGCTAATGCTTTATCCAACCAAATTAATGCATCATCATATTTATCTTACAATCTTAAACATGCACCTAATAATAATAACATATGATCATTACCTTTACACCATAGAGATTGAAAATTATTAGGATCTAATTAAATTGATACATCTAACTGTTCTATTGATTAATCAAGTTGAGAATCACAGTATAATTTATAACCTAAGGATTGTAGTAATATGATTGATTACCTTTACTATAAAATTCTTATGATTATTTAATATCATTATCATTTTTCAAATTATAACTAAGTTAATATAATTTTAGTTATTCATATAAATTTTAAAATGAATGATTTATTTTTTTGCTTTATTCTTAAATGATATTTGTAATTGACTATCTGTATTCTTTGAATTATAGAGCTTAATTCAAGAAATCATTGATTTATTACAAGTTTATATTCAAATATTTTCCTTTTAAAAAAGAATATTTTTCTCTTATTCCCTTTGTAAATTATGAGAATGATTGATTCAAACCTTCGATAAATTTTTTAAGTTCATTAATAAACTGATCACATTTCTGATTACAATTTTATAAAAATTCCTCCAAGCTGTGTACTTTTTGAACATCATTAAAATGAGAATGATGGGCTCCTTCATTGATGCATTTTAGACAATTTAATCGGAATTCTTCGCAAAATTAGTTATAACAAACAGTTTCTATCTGTAAAAAATGATCATTTTGTTAGCATTTTAAATTTAAGATTGTTTCTTAGTCCATCTTAGAAACTTTTATATTTATTATTATAATTCGATATTAGAATGCTAATTCTATTAAAATAAGATTTTAGTTGAAATTACAACAAAGTCTATTAAATAATATTTTTTGATTTAAATATATGTTATTATAGATAAATTATTTTCTATTGATAAAGAATAACTGAAAGGAACTAACACATCTTACTAATACTGGAGAAATTTTTTTAGATAATTGTGACTTAGTTAAATTAAATAAAAATCATATATAATTGAAATAATAGATTTTACGTCAGCACTTATTTAGAAACTCAATGAAGTATTTACTCGGGCTGATATTAATATATCAACGAACTAAACTAGAATATTTTTAATATTTAAATTGTAAATCTGAAATAAACCTCATAATTGTTAATTGATTCTAACTTTAACTAAATTCTCAATAAAGAGTAATTTTAGACTTACGTTTATAAAAAAAATATTAATAAAATTATGTTATTTTTAGTTTCAAATGGTAATCTATATATTAGTTTTTTAATGAATTGAAAATCATTCAATTTATTTAAGACTAACTTCTTTAACCTTAATAAAGCGAAGTACCTTCCTATTTCAAGACTAAGATTGAATGTATCCTTATTCAGGACTAATCTTGAAGAAGATTATTAGGCTCCATTAAGACTTGGGAGTTAACCTATCAAGAAAAGGATAGCAAGTAGAATTAGATCAAAACCAAAAACAAGTTCCTTTAGTTAGTTTTCCATATCTTATTAAACTAATTAGATAAGTATGGATGTTAGAATAAGAAAATTGAATGGCTTTTCAGTTGCTTAATTAAAGAAAGAATTTGGAATCCTTTCTTTTCTAGTTATTAATAATATTTCTGCGATTGGAATATTCATTTTGAAATTAATAACTATTGGGAGCAAAATGCAACTTTGGCCATTAATATTCAATTTTAATTTAACAAAAAGAATTGACCAAATAAGCATTGACAATTTTTAATACCTAGCTACAATAATTTGAGGATAAATGAAGTATAGACTCAAAAAGATCCTAATGAATACTTTAGTAAGTTAACTTATGATACCGCCAAAAGAAATAAAAATTACATAAGATATAAAACGATCATAAATAGTAAGTAGATTGGGAGGAACATAATAAATTTAGGTTTATAAAATAAGAATAATTCCATAAATATTTGAAAAGAGTACTAATGCTTATTATTTTTGATATAAACTAAAAAATTCAATATATATCTAATATAATTAGATATTTTA